TGCCCCCACTGGGACGCGAACCGGCAACCTTCTTGCTGCGAGGCAACAGTGCTAACCAACTGCGCCACCCTGCAGCCCCAAAAAAAGAACAGTAAGGTAAAAAAAAAAAAAAGAGTCTACAACATATAACTGGAGGAAAACACTTGCAGACATGTGCAAACATTACTCAAAACACAATTTTATTGTGCATTTGTACAATAATCACATTGGTGGTTTTTAGCAAAAAAGGAAAAATTGGAAATCATGTGAACAGCAAATAACTATTTTACAACACAGGCCTCATTTTACCAGAAAACAAACAGACATTACTGTTGTACAAGTATATGATGTTGCATCGCTCCCTGTTAGAATTACACAATCACAGACTTATTCAAAGAGAGAGTTATTAACATGCGATGATGCAAATCACAGAGCTGAGGGAAAAGTGCAGATATTCAAACACAATGTAAAGGTTGAAACACCTGAAATTTGAAGGCTTGTTCCAACCTAAAGTCTGTACAGAAATATGATATATTTTACTGTAATATACAATGAATTTAGAGCTCAGAAAACCTCTACAGTGACATTTTTCTGTAGAACAAAATATGAATCCATCCCATCACTGTCACCTCTCCGTCATCATTATTCAAATGTTCTTTGACGGAAAAGCAGTGACTTCACTTGTTCCTCACATGATATTTCATCTTTAAGTTGTTTCAGTGTTTCACTGTCCCTGCCGTTTGCACTAAGCAGAACTGGAACAGTCTGCATCAACGAAACACACAAATCATCTCTCCACAGAGTGTATAGAAATCATCATTTAATAGAATGCATTAACACACAAATACAAACCAAACATACAGCCAGGAACTAATCGCAGTATCATCATCTACCCTGCTAGTTTTTCGTGCTGTACTACATCCTGGTTTTCAGATTTATTTCAGTTCATTTTCTTGGCTCTCTTGTTCCTTCATGTCTTCTCTCTAGTTTTCATATTTAATATCATATGCGAGTGGTCCATTAATGGCAAATCCAAGGTAGAAGGAGACCTTTTCTGTGCTGAAACCACTTCTGATTCCACTGATGCGAGCCGGACGCACCGGGATTTTCAGGGCACCATAGTTTGCGTACACCTCTCCCTGTTCGATGGTTCCACTGACTCGGTAAAGGCAGCTGATGATCACTTCTTCCTTAAATATGTCTCCATTCCACCACAGTTGTGTCAACGTATCAGGAGGTATTTTAGGCAGAAAACTCCTGTCCAGTTTGGACTTTGAGACAAGCCTCTTGAGTCCTTGTTCTTTTCCTAAATAGAAGTAGGCAATCGTGCTTCTCTTACGAAACAGCTTGGACAGATGCTTCTGGGATGACTTTCGGATCGCAATCACATATTTACTGATTTCTGTGTTCTGCTCAGTTGGACTCGGCCAGAACAACAGCAGAGCCAGGTAGTATGGGTCAGGGAAGGAGTACCACAGTCCAACATGCTGCAGAATTTCCCTCAGGAGATCAGAGAGGTGTCTGGTATTCTTCAAATGTTTGGATTTTGGTTTCTGATGGTAAAGAACAATGCTGGACAGAATGTAGTTAATTTTCACTTGCATGTTTTGCTTTTGATGGACAGTTTCTTGCTGTAAGAATGCATAGCACTCTGTGATCCTCTCCATGTCTTCAGCAGGTTTAATCAAGTGCTGAAGTATTCCTGAGAACGTATCTGCTTGGTTCTTCTCAAGGAACAATTTACGTTCTTCGATATCTATTTTCGAATTGAGGTGGGATTTGTTTTCTTGTTCTTTTTTTATGTCCTCTGGTGTCGTGCAAAAAAGATCCACATACTTCTTAAACAGTTCACAGACTTTTCTGTGATTTGTTTTGTCAAATTCTGAGTTTCCTTTTGTGTAAACAAAGTAACGGTCGAGGAGTTCAAAATTTTCTTTGGCTTCAGATTTCAGTTTGACAAGAAACGGTTCGTGTTCTTTGATGATCTCTGCATATCTGTTGTTGATCTCGTTGTCCTCTTTGTGCACATTGGTGATTTTGAGTGCTCCTCTGAGGAAACTCTGCAAGTACATTTTCTTCATGGGATTGCGTTCCTCAAAGAAAGGCAACCTGCTCAGTATCTCAAAGACCAAGAAAGCCATTTCCAGCATGTTGACGTAGCCATAAATGGTGTATGACTTCCTGGGATAGTCCTCTGAGTCTTGGTCGTCGTCACCTTCAGGTTCATCTGCGATGTCTGCCAGCTCCTGAGCCCTCTGGAATGCTTTCATACCATTGGTGGCTATTTTAATGTTTGTGTGCAGATCTTCTGGATTGCGTGATTTCTCCTGCTTTTCTCTGTCTATGTTAGACTTCAAATTGCTTTTATGCACTTGTCCAATTGTGTCGAACGTGTATGGGTTATCTTTAATGTTCTTGGCTTTTTCCGCCCACTTCAAAGCCTCTGGGAAGTCACGCTCATTGATGTACAAATATCTCGCCAATGCCTGAGGAATAGATGCACTCTCCTCAAACCGAGATGATGCTGTCACAAAGATTTCTTGGACGGTTCGTCTCCCCTGCTGGCTGTGAATTTTCTCTATGAGAGGAGAAAACAGTTCTCTGTCCTCGCCATCTTTTTTCCGTTGTCTCTCAATCAACATTCGTTGAATTGAGAGCATCAGTCTGTGTTTAACAACTCCAAAACTGAAGAACAGATCGTAATGCAGCATCTGCATGGCAATGTCACTCACTTTCAGGGAGAAGCTTCTCTCCAACTCATCCAGACAAGCAGATGCTATGGTGTGATGAAGGATTCGGATTCCTTTGTATCCGCCCCATTCTTCCACTGTGTCTACAATGAGAAGGTTTGAGAATGGCTTCATTCTGTCAAGAACACTCTCCTCTTCCAGCCGGATCAGTTTCATCCCAAAGAAATCCTCACAGAGAGACAGAGCGATTTCTGATTCTGCCACATATGTGTTCAGTAGAGCTAGGAAGGCAAACAGTTTGGCCTCCTTTGTGCTGCGATCAAAGTTCTCCAACGTGTTATGAGCAACACCGTCGATGTACTTGTGGTCAAAGTTACTCTTCATGATCATAAAGCTGTAAAAGTTTTCAGGTTTTTCATGAGTTTCTTTGAGCTCTTTCAGTTTCTTTTCAAAATCTCTTTGTTCTTCTTGGGTCAGTGAAGTAGTGATGTATTGGTTTTGTGTTTGGTTGTGCTGTCTGTATTGTTCCTTTGGACTATGAGAACGAACGCAGTTCAGGATGATGACTTTGCAGTTTGGTGCATCATCTACGTTTAGGTTGAAGTTGTCCTCCATTGCAGCATTACGTATGCAGTTCACAAGATCATTAGGATTTTCTGTTTCTTTTGAATCATCAACCAACAGCAGAACTGGAGATGGTTTGTCACTTTCAAGTTTCATCAGTTTAAGAACTTGGGTGGCCACTTCTGTTTTGGGCAGCGTTTTGTCTTTCAGCACAGCACATCTGAACTCTCGCCGGAGATCCCACATCACATGCATCGCTAAGGTGGTACCGCCACAACCTGCATGGTGAAACAGGTTGAGCAGAACGCAGATGTTTGAATCTCTCCGCTGAGATCTGATCATCCCCTTCACATTTTTATACTTTTCCCTCTTGACAAACAGCTTCTCTTTGTCTGTGTCACAGAAGTAGAAGTTCCACCACTTGACTTTGCCTCCTCTGTAGAATTCCTCCTCAACTTTGATCCTGAATTCATGAAACTCTGAACTGTTTTCATCATACATTTTTTCACATTGATTTATACACAACACATCGAGAGCTGTCAGTAGATCTTCATCCTTTTGTTTGAGGATCACAGTGCTAGCTCCAGAGGAGGGAAGCAGTCTTCCAGATGACCGACTTAGTGGTCCCAGCCCCATGATGGTACCGTTGATCTCACTCAGGGTGAGTTCACTTATGGACAGATGGTCAATGTCAAAGTCACACTTTTCTAGTATGAGTTTCCTCCATTTCAGATATGTGCTCTGACATTCACAGATAGTGATGACATTTTCCTCCACAATGTGCTTTATGAAAGACCTGTAGATATCAAACATCGGGTCTTTCTCAGTGTCCACCGGTGAAAGCAGGAGGAATATGATCAGACATCTTCCACGGAGAAGAACTTCGGGGTTGCAGATGAATGAAACCAGCTGTTCTACATCTCTGCAACACTTCCTCAACCAGTTCCTGTAATCCAGCTCCTTGTTGGAATCGCTGTCGACGTCCTGTCGGCCATTACAGAAGACCCAGCTGGTCTGTTTGTAGAGGTTGAGACTCTTTATCACTGACTCAGTCTGTCCTTGAAACTGTGTTGCGGTATGCAGATTAGCCACCCTGGACTGTCTGTATGAATGGCACAGTCCACCTGAAGCAGCAGAGTTTGGATCAAAGTCTAACACACAGAACAATTTCAACTTACTCAGAAACTGCAGATACTGTACTTGTTCTAGACTGCTCTTGTTTACAACAACAACAAAGCTGTCGTAGTTGTCAAGTGAGTTTCCACCACAAGTTAACAAAGCCTTCAGTTTTTCTCCCTGGTTTGCTTCTTTCTTTCCACCTTTTGTTGGAGGACAGTGCTGCTTCAGTCGACCTGCAGGAAGAGCAACAAGAATCTATTAAGTACCAGAACCCACAACTGACACAGCATTGCTATCTTGAAGGTTAAAGGTTGAGGCTGGTGTTATTCTATATTTTTAAAATTCATTTATGTGGGAGAGGACAGTGCATGTTAATGAACACATGCAGTACAATGACTTTGTGTAAATATGTCGGATTTAGCTTAAAGCTGGTTTCCATCAATAATCCTCATTATTAATAAATAATAAATATATTGTTTCATTTGAATCATAACACAATCTAAAAAGGTGCACAAACAAACCACCACAATAGATAGAACACATCTGAGAATCCCAAGAAAAATAACAAGACTAATGTTTGTCAATGCCAGACTTACCTACGGGTTTTGGGCACCACGGAAGATGTAAATCTTTAAAATGGATTACAAATGTATACAGTCTACAAGAGCAGTGAGTACTGCCCAGTGCAATATGATCAAAATGTTAAATAATTCAAAATTGTTTCATCTTGCAGTAATCCGATTACGTCTAACAAAATCAGTAGAGTATTTACTCTGATGTCAGATCACAGACTACTAGTTTAAATTTCATCTATTAAATTCAGGCTCCGCAGCAGTAACTCAGCTAAACTGAGTCCATCTTTCATTCTTGAGGTTCTTTGGTTCCTTCAGTCTTTATCTCTGCTGACAGACTCAGTCCTCCTCAGCATGGAGGAGGACTGAGTTCTTCACACTGTTTTATTCAGCTGCTCTTTGCCGGAGGGGTTGTGTTGCTCTACCTTTCTCTGGAAAACACCACAAAGGGCTTCTGTTGGATTCAGCTCAGGACTGCCACCGTTGTTGTATGCTGCAGTTTCGTTATTTAAAAAGCCTCAGAAACTTCCTTAAACAGCAGATCACTGTAGTTTCAGTGAATAAGAAAAGCATTAAATGTTTTCACAGTAATTAGGAACAGATACAAATAAAGTGAGGCACTATCACAGTGGAGCTCACTGAGGATTTTAGTTTGTCCCATTGACCCTGCGACTGAGCAGTACTACTGTTCTCTAAAAGGATGCTGCCATAGAAACAAAGTCATCATCAACAACACAGCAACATCACACAATGACAGTTGCTATCTGCAATTACAAAAGGAGCAATTAGTAACAAATGCAATAATTGTCTTACTTGTGTCCTTTTCTAGCTCGCAGGCAAGGTTGTTCTGATTGATGTCTCTGAGGGTTTGTATTGTGACCTGTAGCGCCTCCATGTGTCCATAGTGAGCAATCAGTAAGCTAGCGGTGTCCATGGTGTCCTTGCTCGCCAGTTTACGCTGAGGAATAGGTGTCTGGCTGGATGTCGTGTTTATTCGTAAGTTGAAATGAAATTGTTTCAGGTCAACTTCTGAAAGGTTGTCGAGGGTTTTCTGGATCTCCGCTGTCATTATCGCAGATATTTTTGGTCCAACTGTAGTCTGCAGAAAATAAGAAGGAAATATTCAATGATCCTGAAAGTTTGCTTGTTTTAAAAATAGCTTTTGTCTTGTTTGTAATTGTGCTATTTTACTATTTGACACATAACCACAAAGAGATGCAAAATCCCAACTTGGATCAATATTGGAGCTGAAATGTAGAAAAAGTCTTCAGATTCCTTCACAAAACTTAGGCTACATTCAGATTGCAGGATTTAATGTTCAATTCGGATTTTCTTGTGAAATCCAATTTTTTTGCGAGTTTGTTCACATTTCCAATTAAATGCGACTTTTATGTGATCTGCTGTGGGAACTTCATACGACCCAAAAGTGTCCCGCATGCGCAGAAGAGGACACGATGACGTCACACGCAGAGAGCGTGCTCAGTGTGTGTGGAAGTAAACACAGATGGTAATGGTGATAACCACGACAATGACTGAATATTCGGATATTCGAGTCCAGCCCTACAAGACTGTAATTTACATTTTAATAAAATACTGCATGTCAGACCCAAAATGATGGTGCTGAATGCTTTTGCAAGAAATTAAAGCATACGCTAATGCCCCCGCCACTTTTCAGCTATTACTACAGCTACGAGTAGTTTTTTCTGCCTTTCATATTTGAATGGATACGGAGCTTATAGCAGCTGAAGCACACGGTAGCTGTTCAGCGCCGATGTTTACAGAATGTTAACATTGGTCAGTGTGGGCGCACACATCTGTGTAGTGATCTCTATAGTTGTTAGTGTGAATGGGCTATAACAGGAAAACTGGTTAATGCTGACTGTCGAAAGAAAAGAACGACAAACACATCACAGCAAATGCGCTGTCTAATAGGGGAAAAACGTGGCCTAGACACGAAAGATAATTCCAGTTGAAATGTATTGGTTTGGATTCATGGTGGGGAACACGAAAAAGTTGAACTTGAAGTTTTGTAAAACCAGAAGAACCTAACTGATGTGGAAATGGACATTTAACCAAATATTAACATTTCTGTATGTATATTTGTGACCCAGCATATTTTATATTTCTAGTAGACCTGTAATAAATCTGTGAACGAACCAAAATGCAGGATTGCTTTTGACAAAGATTCAATGATTCCATCACAGAACATTCAGTTCTAGGAGTCACTGAAAAATCATGACTGACATGGTATACATGGTCTTTACAAGTGGATGCAAATGCTTGCTCATGACTGTATCTGAAAATAAATAAATAAATAAATACTTTATTCATCCCAGAAGGGAAATTCAATATTATATTATAATCTGTTAATGTAATGCTGCGGTTCAGACTTGTGTCGAAAGTGAAATGTTTCTTGCTCTGACCTGTTACGATCGCCGTCATGACTTTTTTGGCTAAGTGTTTCAGACATGAGGTCAACATGCTCAGATGCTGTCAGATTAATGGAGAGGAGAGCAGGTCTAAAAGGGGTTTTACTATAAGGCATATGAGATAATAGAAATTTTACCACAACAGGTGTTTGTTTCTTCCTCCCCACGTTCTGTGGCTGTGGCTGTTGAATTTCCTCCTCTTTTGAAGCTTTACCAGACAGCAGCTGAGCCTGTTTGGGTTCATTTTCCACCACTTCAACTCTCTTTGGTTCAGTTTTGTCAGATGACTCTGGTTGATGGATTTCTGTCATCTGAGCCAAACTTAGTTCAGAGTGAGTGGGTTTTGTAGCTTCTGTCTGGTTGCTGGTGTGAAGGATGGGTTGCAACGTTGGCTCTGGTTTGTTGTTCAACTGGCGGAGCTCTCCCAGAATCTTTACAGCAGGGCCACTTTTCACACCTAGATCCAGAAGATCCTGCTTCTTGAAGCAAACAAGGCAATCTCCAGACACGTCCTCCTCTAGGAGTCGTGCTGCATATTTGCTGTACACGTTCACATGCTGCAGTAACCACTGGTTCACCTGCTCCTTTGTCCATTTCTCCACATATGCTGGCAGCTGTGACTGATGGTTGGATCCTGCTTTCAGACTTTCTAGAAATGATGTGATTTTCACAGCAGGACCATGTTTTAATCCCAAGTCCAAAATGTCTGTCTTTTCAAAAAAAAGCAAACTCTCTCCTAGGACTTCCTCCTCAGAGAACTTGTCTGCACAACTCTGATGAACTTTGACAACTGTCATAAGCCACTGGTGGACGTCTTCTGTGGTCCATTTCTCAATCGAAGCTGGTGGCTTCGATTTTGACTGGCTCATTTTGGATCAACTAAAAATAGAAAACAAAGTTCAGTACAAAAGTAATCAGTGCTCCAACATTATGCATTTGAGTATAATAAAAACAAGATGGGCTAAATGGATGCTACAAATTATTGTAACTAATAATTCTGCTGGTATTCCTTAACTAAACCAAAAAGTATTGATTAACTGTTCTGCTAATATGATTTTCTCTTGATGTGCAGTTGCAAACAAAGGTTTCCATCTACTTGTAAAATCCATGTTTATCATGTCGGTCTTCAGTTTCCAATGACTCCACAACTCTGATTTTTCAATAATGGAATCTTCAGAATACATGAATTTTTGTCACAAAAAAACAATCCTATATTTTGGTTCTTTCATTGATTTATTAAAGGTATGCTCTGGGGCTGTTCTGCTGCCAGTGGAACTGGAGCTTTACACAAAGTCAATGGAACAATGAAGAAGGAGGATTACCTCCATGTTCTTCAGGAAAACCTCAATGAGCCCAAACACACATCAAAGTGATGAAGAAATGTTTCAATCAGGATGGAATGAAGGTTCTAGACTGGTCTCCCCAAAGTCCTGACTGAAACCATCAAGAACCTGTATACTGATGAAGAAACAAGTCTGAGTCAGAAAGACAACAAGTTTAGTTGACCTGCAGCGATTCTGTCCAGAGGAGTCAAAGATGAACCAGAAGCTGGTGGACGGAGACCAGAAGAACCCAACTGAGGAGAACATGGAAGTTTAACCAGATTTTAACATTTCTGTGTGTATATTTATGACCCAGCATATTTCCAGAAGACCTTTAATGAATCTATAAAATGACCAAAAAACATGATTGTTCTATGTGAGACCCAGGCCCATGGTTTCTCATACCATTATTATACTGATGATACCCATCTCTTCCTGTCGTTACCCCTGGACGACCACACGGTCTCTGCCCGGATCTCATCATGCCTTGCAAACATCTCGGCATGGATGAAGAAATGCCACTTCAACTCAACCTCTCTAAGCCTGAGCTCCTTGTCGTCCCAGCCAGTCCCTCTCTACAACAAGAAATCAACATCCAGCTTGATTCAACCCAACTCAAACCCACTAAGTCTGCCAGAAACTTGAGTGTCATGATTGACGACCAACTAACCTTCAAGGCTCATGTGGTCTCTGTTGCTTGGTCGTGTCAGTGCGTCCTGTACAACATCAGGAAGATCAGACCTTTCCTGTCTGAACATGCAGCACAACTCCTGGTACAAGCTCTTATAATATCACGCATCAACTACAGCAGCACATCTGTCACTGTTCAGATCGCTTCTCTGGCCTCCAGTCGCTGCCCGCATCAAATTCAGTACTCTGACACTTGCTTACAAAACCACAGTGAGAACAGCTCCCTCCTACCTGAACTCTCATTCAGGTCTACACTCCCTCTGCTCACTAACTCGACCAACCAAAGCCTCCTGATCCAACCACCACAACACGTCGAGGTCGGTAGCTGGACTCTTCTCCTCTGTGGTTCCCAGAACAAACAGCCAAATTCTGTTCAATCTGCTGACTCCCTCTCAGTCCTTAAGAACAGACTAAAGACTAGCTCTTCACTGAACACCTCTGCACCTGACAGACTGGAAACAAACAAACTAAATGAAAATAAATAAATAAATAAAATAAAAATTCCTATCACCTCCCACACAGCCTGCTATTGGCACCAACGCCCTATCACACCTGAACTTGTTCTATGGCACTTATCCAGATTGTTTTCTCCTGACTAGATCCTTGCTTATGTTGTATCTGCTCTCAGATGTACGTCACCCCCTCCCCCCCCGGGTGTGTCCGATTAAGTCGAGGACCTTTGCATGGTTTCTGGGTGTGTCGCCTTCAGATATGTTTGGTTTCGGTTACAAAACACAGCACAGTGTAATCGCACAACTCGTATGAAAATTTACATTTAAATATGATCGTACACAGAAATTAATTCAGAGCATTTTTTAAAAGCTTGTTAGCCTGTAAAAACGGAATACAGTTTGATTTTTTTACAGTGTCAGTCTGAAAGGCCTGTTCAAACTCAAAACTATTCTATCACATAACAGCACGTTCACATGAAACTGTGCAGTCGGTGATAAAACATCAGTATTTTCTGTATTTAGTGCCAACAGTTCTCACCTCCAGAGGCCTCTTCAGGATGGATTTTTGCTGATGACCATCTCTGCTGGAATATACTGACGTGATGTTATTCCGAACAGAAATGGAACTGCAAAGACTTCCTGGAATCACTGCTGAGAGAACAACTGCAAAGTTTTATTTCCTGATGCCTACCTGCGGAGGTGAGGCCCCTCCTTCATGTTATGTCACATTAAAGTCACACCCGCAGACAAACGCCAGTGTAAAGCTAAGAGCATGATCCTTTTAATAAACCAGGTTCAAAATCAGATTAATGATTCATCTCACAACTTGTATGTATTTAAGTGAAGGTACACAATATCACCAGAGAAATGTACTCAACAGATGGAAAGTAAAAACTCATTATTCAGCAGAATGATGCCTGAAGTATTACCCTATTACCCTAAACCTTGATCCACATTTTTACCACTTAGACATTTTAGAACTAAACAGCTGATCGATTCATCCAGAAAATATCGATCAGATTGTTGAACAGTAGAATCAGCTGTTGGCTGCTCTGCACTGTGAATGTTAAAGCAGCCAACAGTTATTGTCCGTTGTGTCATGCTGAGAACAAGATGAAGTGATGGAAGCTTCTACCAAAGACCAGCAGTCTGATGATGAGTGAAGACCTGCAGGACTGGATCTGGTTCTGTTCATGTCCTCTGTAAGCAGCTGGTAGCATCAGTATTATGGGATGTCTCGTAGTGTGAACAGTCAGACTGCAGCAGTTTAATGTCTATGACACAGAGTCATAGAAACAATCATTGGTACCCTGGATGTGTTTCTGGTTTCTCATCATTCACCAGAGAAAACTTTACAAAGTGCATTCTGGGTAAACTTTCCAGGCTCATATCAGCATGTGTGATGGTGGTTGGTCAGAACAAGTTCTAGACATTGGAGGGACCATTTCTATTCTTAGATGAACTTTGTTGGTGTTTTTCATGAGATGAGCCACATGTAGTGTCTGTAGTTCTTGTTGCAGCTGAAACAGGAAACATTTGAAGGAGACGTTAGACAATCCCTTTAAATCTGTTTATTATTTAGTGACAGAAACATTGACCTCAGACCATTCAGACGTTCTACGTGTTGATGCGGTCACGCCTGACCGTCAGCACGTTACAGTATGAACACGTTAAAGCAGAGCCCTGAGTCATCACGCTGCCTTCACTGCTCCTGGGAATTCTCATTAATTCACAGTTAGAAGAATTCAGACATCTTAAAATCACCGGCCGCCATGATTGTAGTTTTCAGAAGCTCACCGTCATATTTACAGTTTCCCACAGGAGCGAACGCAGCGTTAATCAACCAGTGACAGAGAAGAGAACAGAGGGTTCCTCGGTGCTAGCTGTTACCATGGTAACAGACAGGCAGTGAATCAGGAGGCGGCGCTGCGGTGGGCGGGGCCTAGCTGAGGATCTTGTGGTAGGGGTGCAGCGGCAGCGTCGAGGTGAAGCCTCTGATGTCGCTGATCAGTATCACGTCCTTCAGCGCCGTCGGCAGGAAGCTCAGCTCGCTCACCTCGCCGTACGCTGAGCAGGACGGGCTGTCGGCGCCACCCGGATCCACTGGGTCGTTCTCCTCCACGCCAAAACCCACCACCTGAACACGGAACGGTTGATTAAACTTAACTTTATTAAACTTCAGCGTGGACGCAAGCAGGAAGTGAACAGACTCACGTGAACGCTGAGCTTCCTGCTGCTGGTTCTGTGCTCCAAGAACCACGACACCAGGTTCTCCTGACGGAATGCCTTCAGCGCCTCGATCTGCAGAACCAGAACACAACTGTTACACAGCAGGACCTGGACCTGGACCTTGACCAGAACCAGAAGTAGGACCAGAGCCAGGAACAGGATCAGGACCAGAAGCAGAACCATGCCCAGGATCAGGATCAGAACTAGAACTAGGACCTTTGTGTGTCTGTTGTGAACATCGTATGTGTGGTTGTTGTGTGTCTGGCTGTGCGTCACCTCCTTGTGCAGCCGATCGAACACGTACTGCTGCGTCACCACCTCGAACCAGTTGCGGTCCACCTCCTCGCCCAGGTGAGCGTCTTCACACTCCTTCAGCTTGATGAGCGCCGTCACCTGCGTGCTGAAGGCGTCTTCGCTCAGCGCCGCCAGACGCTCGCCGAAGCTCCGCAGGAAGTCCTCGATCTTCGCCTCCACAAACTCGGAGCTGCGGGACGAGACGGTGTCAGTTGGCAGCGTCACTTGCTGACCGGCAGGTAAACTCACCTGAACTCACCTGAACTTGGTGGCCTGAGTCTCCACGGTGACGGAGAAGCCCAGAACACCTGAAGTGTTTCTGCAGGTGGGATACACCTGGTACCTGCAGGTAACAGTAATGTTATTACTTAATGTTTCATTGATCTGTTAGTTGATCTAAAGGAATAAAAAGACTCAGAGTTTCAGTTTAACAAAATTCTTCAGCTTGATAATCATTATTATTATTATTATTATTATTATTATTATTATTATTATTAATAATAAGTTCTACAGTTTTCACTGTCAGTGACCTGAGATGACTATTGAATGATCTGGACTGAAAAGATTTGTACACATGTACGTGTTTTAATATATGTGACGTGAACTAGGGTGGATGAATGGCGGCTCACCCCAGAGTCTCTTTGGTCCGGAGGAAGTCGAAGCAGGGCTCCTCCATGTGCATCTAAACACAGACAGAGTTGACGGTTACATTTGCAGCTCACAGGTGAGTTACAACGTTTAGCTGATGAGAGACAGGAAGTGAACTCACCACCAGCAGCTCCATCAGAGCGTGGTCTCTGAGCTGCTTCAGCCCCGACTGCAACACAAACATCAGAGTCTCAACACGTCATCCCCTCTGGATGGAGAAGAGCTTAACACAGCCACAGTCACTGAGGTAACAGATCCGGTTCGCTAACTGGGTTACGTTAAATATTTAGAATTTAAGACATTTTCTGTTTTACCCTTAAAAGAACCTGTGATAACATTTTAAAGCCTTCAATACGTCCAGACATTAAAACATCTAAGAACTGATCCAACTTCAGGTTCTACTGATGTTAGAGCCTCAACAGTTGGTGAAATGTGACCAAGGACTGGATTTTAGTAGAAACACGGATCCATCCATAGATAGACACTGACAGGAACGTTCTGGATCAACACCTAGAACATGCTGCACTTTCTTCTGTTTCCAAGGATCAATAACTAAACTGCGTCCTGCTGGATCCATTCAGTCGTCTGATGAAACTATTCAGAGTTTTATTTCTGGAGATATTGAACCTTTATAACGGCTTCACAACTTTTATTTTGAAGGTGAAGCACAAAATTCCCACATCTGAAAAAGTAAAATCCTGAAAATTCAGCCAAAAATATTTTTCAGAACTTAGTTTTGGTTCCAAACAACAAATAATTAAGCTGTGGACAGAAGCACTGCCTCGTGTCTTCAGATTTAACACGATGATGTTTAGATGATGGATCAGAGTAAAGCTCATCACATCCTGGACGGGATCCGTTTGATCCTTGACTCTGCAGGATGAAACGGCCTCTCTGGATTGTTTGGTGCTAACACTGACGATACCAGATTAAATGTGAGTCTTATGCTGCAGCTGATGTGGCAGCAGCTGATTGGAGGGAGGCCTCGTCCTTCAAAGTAAAAGCTGGCTCAAGCGAGTGTGTGCTCCTACCTGGTAGTAGACGGTGACCTCTGAGTTTGCGTCTCCTTTGTTGAGAGATTTGACTTTACAGAGATGATGTTTCTGAGGCAGCTCGACCACCCGGAACAGAACGGGGACCTCTGCAGACAGCGGCTGGAACTGCAGCTTCCTGCTCATGTCACAATAAAACGTTTGTTGACTGTTACACATTTAAACTTTACATCTCAGAACATTTGTCTGTTCAGGTGATGAGTCCATTATTCAGCTTCAGACTGATCTCAGAGTGGCCTGATGAAATGTGAGTGAATGAATGAATGAATGAATGAATGAATGAATGAATGAATGAATGAATGAATGAATGAATGAATGAATACTCACTCAGTGAAGTAGTGCAGAAATTCTTTGGACTCCTGTTGGAGGAAAACATCTGTTAAATCACAGTTTCAGAGTTTCATTAAAACACAGACAGAAAGAAGAACATCGAGTGTTTTGTTCTGGACGACGATGAGACCTTTAAGTAATGACGCTTTCATTTACAGATGATTTTGTGGAAACTTTCCTGATAATAAAACACAGTTTAAGGCTTTAAAAGTCCTGCAGTTTGGCTCTGATTCTGAGCAGAGTAATGAGAGTAGGAGGAGCTCGTGTGGAGATGTCAGTGACTGTTAGCTGCTGTTCTTCATGGATCAATCAAACTGATCAGATCGAACATCAACCTGATTCTGTTTCAGGATGTGAACGTTTTATTGTGAAGTTTTGAGCTTCAGTAGTTAAATTTTTTAATATTCTGAGAATCAGGCATCTCGGATCTGAAGACACCGAACGAGTCTTTTGCCTAAATTTAGAGAATTTCAGATGTTTGCAGACCAAGAAATTCAACCTGTGAAGCCGTTTTAAGGGTTCAGTTGGCATGAACTTGTGTTTCTGCTGCTTTCTGAGCAGATTCATTTCAAACTGATGATCAAACAGCTGTTACCAACACGTTTCTGTCTAACCAATAACTCTGATTACAGCTTCGACAGAACGGCAGCTGTTTAATACCTGCAGCAGCTGATAATTAGAACCAAACTCTGCAGGACTTTTTGTATTTCACTGTTTTCGATGGTTTTATTCACTCTGTTCTGGTGCAAAATAAAACAATAAAAGTACCAAAAATGCCAGAACACACTAAAGGAAAGAAAAAATATGGATGTGCAGGACACGAGCAAAAGAAAAGAATAAATAGAATAAAACAGCGCTGAGTAAACCTGTGAAAACAAAAAGAGTGGACGAGACCAAAGAGATGACATGGACCAGTTTATAAAATGTTGCTGCAGGTGTACCAGCTGGAGGCTCAGTTAGGACCCGTCCAGGTGTCCTGCAGGTGTCTCACCGTGCTGCTGAAGTTTCCCTGCACCAGACCCTCCACGTACAGCTCCGCCTTCAGCGCTGACACGAAGGTCAGGAGCTCATCAACAGAGAGTCCGCGGGTCACGGCACGGTACTTCTGGATGACGGACCAGCGGCAGTGTTCCAGGATCAGCAGCCGGACGTCTCTGACAGAAGAGCACAGCTGCGTTAGCGTAGCTTAGCATCAGCAAACACACAGGGACCAGTTCAAGTCTCAGCCTGAACCGTCTGGCTTTAACTGAACCGGCCCTGATGTTAACAGGTGCTGCTCCACCACTGATTAAAATCTGGATATTCAGAAAGATGTCTGTGACATTTTACTCATCAAATACTCTGAGATGTTCTGACCCACTGTCGGCAGGTTGGATTGTAATATCTCAGAACTATAAAAGCAAAAAAACAAACAAAACGTGGAGGACATACTTGCCAAGTCTGTCGGGTTTGATGAGGATGTTGAAGTAGGTTTTCTTCAGCTGCTCTGAGAACATGTTGAAGACTCCAAGTTCAGAGCTGAAGTCTGCCAACTGATCCACGATCAGCTTCAGCAGCAGCTGGAACAACACAACACGGGACTCTGATATATAATAATATAATATAATAATATCATAATATAATATCTAATAATATAATACATACAACATTTAAAGTTATTCAGCGACACACTGATTTAAACACATCTGATGGTTCAGAGTCACAACTGAAGTCTGTTTTTTTACAATAACTGTTCATGAAAGGAAAATAGGCACGTATATCTGTGTTGTGTGTCTGTGCCTCTGTTGTGTGTCTGCGTTGTGTTGTGTGTCTGTCTTGTGTGTCTGTGTCGTGTGTAGTGTCATGTGCGGTACCGGCAGCTTGTGGTTGAAGCCCTTCAGCCGGATCACCAGTCCGTGCTCTCCAGCCACCAGCTTGTACTCCAGCTGGGCCACGTCAGCTTCGTACGCCGGTTCTGCCAGATTGTGGGCCAGAATGTTGACGAAGAGGTCGAACAGAACCAGACTGAGGAGGAGAAGCTTCATCAGAACCGTCTGCACTCTGAGTTTACAGGAAACATCTGACAGAGACACTGGCAGGAACCTTCTGGATCGGTACAGCTCAACACTTCCTGTGTTAGGATCAACAGCTAAATGGAGCCCTGCTGGTTCCGTTCAATCGTCTGACAGAACTCTTCTGTATTTTATTTCTGGACATACAGAACCTTAAAACGGCTTCACAGGTTTCACGTTGAGGCTGAAACTAGAAACCGACCAGAAGGCTCCTGAGTGCAGGTGTGAGGTGTTCAGGTGAGCATCTTACTTCTCAGGACTCTTCTGGATCATCGGGGAGATCAGGTTGAAGCGAATGTAGGCTGGAACACAGACACAGTTGGATGTGAAGCTCATTAAACCGACTATCTGAGAGAAACCATTAAGCAGTTTGTTGCTGCTTCGGTCCTGCAGCTGAAGCTTCGAGGTCCATTTGGGATGAATCAGATCAAACAGGATTCAGGACGATGAAGCAGAAAATGCTTCTTCATTCAGAGCTGCAGCCGACTGACACTCACATCAACACAAACAGTCAGGTTACAAGAAACCAAAAAACAAATCCACATATTTACAAGCTGATCAATAACGATTATTAATCGATCAGTTGTTTGTCTTTAAATGTGGATCACAGTCTCCTCCAGTGTCCAAAGATGTTCAGTTTCCCGTCACAGAGGAAAGAAACCAGAAAAGATTCACTGAAGGAGCTGAAATCAGAATTTAGACAGATTTTGTTTTTAAAATCACTCAAGCAGATTTATTTATTTGTTGTAAAATAGTTGGAGATGAATTTAATACCTGACAATCGATTGTTTAACGTATCAATGCAGCTTCACTTACAAGATTAGCAACAAGAACTATTCAGTAAATCAAATCACTGCAAGTCACTGATATTATTCTACATTATTGATTGTCGGAACAGACGCTGAAGAAACTCCCATCAGTCTGTTTTCATCTGGACTTACAGCAGCTCTGTTTCTGTGGGGATCAATAAGGTTCTGACGATTGATCAGATGCTGCAATGACTCAAACTGTCCTCCAGGGGGAGCTGCTTCTCCTGCTGGTTTACCTTTAGGATTACTGAGCACACCGCTGAGTCCTGTAAGGTCTGGCTCACAGCCTGGTTCTGGTTCTGATCGGGTTCTTGTCTTGTGCTTCAGGAGTTTAAGTTCCCTGACCGTCGAATATACTAAGACCCTGATAATCAATAATGATCTGGATCAATGACGATCAGTAACTGATTGATTATCAGAGCTGAAACCGTTAACTAAGAGACAGACTGAACCTTTAATCAGCAGCTTGTGTTAAAACGTGCTGCTTCAGCGTCTCATGTGGGGATGTTTGTGGTTAATAAGGTTGATAAGTTTCCTCTTTAATGATTATTTGGAGACTGAGAGTGTTTCTGAGCCTCTGGACTCAACACCAGACAGACGTGTTGATGGAAACAATCAGCTGCAGACCTGAAGACATTCCTTCTGATGATGCTGCTGCAGTTCGACCAATCAGAGCAGCGGTCTGACGGGACACCTGGACTCACCTTTGGGGATCTTGAACTTGTTGTCCTTCTTGTACCACAGACAGCCTCTGTCGCTGTTCACAATCCTGACGGGAAACTCCGTGTCCGGACAGTCGGACGGCTTCAGGGTGAAGTCCGTCGCTGAAACAGATGATCAGAGTTTCTGAGAGTCACCTTATGTCCAGAATCAAAGTACTTATCAATTAATGCAGGAAATAATTGATTGATTAACGTATCGGCTCATGGACAAGTGTGGAATAAAAACTGATAACACAGTTGACAGCCAGTAAAGACAACGTGGTTCAGAGTTTATTTACTGACCGATGAACTTGTTCTCAGCAGGAAGGTGGAGTTCAGGGTTGAGCTCCACGTCTCCTGTCCAGCGCTGAGCCCAGTCCTCAGGGATATCTGAGCCCAACAGGTGCACAGGTGAGTCAGACTACAGGTGTACCATCGTATTGTCATCTCTTCACACAATAAAACGGTGCTGAGTGAAACCAATCGGCTCACAGAAGCTCAACTTTGTGTTTATTTAACTAAAGCAACTGAACACCAGTTTTCTTGCTGCTGTTATTTTATCTCCAGGTTCTAACATGCTGAGGAACTAGTCCACGCATTTATAACGTCTGGACTGGACTACTGTAATTCCTTATTATCAGGACGTCCCAATAACTCTCTAAAAACCTCCAGCTGATCCAAAATGCTGCAGCCAGGGTTGCTGGAAGTTGTTGTGGTTCCTCAGTAACACCTGACGGTGTCGTACCTTCGCTGCTGTAGCTGGTACCGAACCACTTCTCTCTGAGGGGGCAGCGGCCTTCGTTCTCTGGAGACAGCAGCAGCAGGTTGGCTCGTTGGGGGGTCAGCAGGTCCAGAGCGGCACCAATCACCTGAACCAACAGCACACAGCACCAAGATTAGACAGGACTCCATCTGGGTCACACACTCAACACAGTCTGGATCAGT